GAGTGCATACGCGCGATCCACCCAGAACACCTGCAGCTCCGACTCGTTGTGGCCACAGCGACCCTTCACCTCAGTCCCCGGGTCAGTGAGATATCAGCCTGTTCCGTGAGCAGCTGGGAACACAGACGCCCCGCACCCCCTCAGCGCGCGGGCCGGAGTGCAAGCTGTAAAGGGCGGCGCGTCCAAACTCCGGATCGCACGCTTGGGCGCTCCTTTGCGCGCGCGCGCTCCCAGGTCCGGGAACATGCGGTTAGATGCTCTGCGTGCAGACCCGGCCGTTAGGGAAGCAGAGAAAGGGGCGGGGGAGAGGTTCTTTCCAAGCAGGCAGGGCGGGCAGAAGGCGTTATAAGCCTGAACCCCCATGCAGCATTCAGGAGCAGCCTGTAGGGCGCAGAGGGGAAGACGGGCGACCTAGGTCTTCAGGGCCTTAAGGGAGTGTGCCCTTCTCCCCTGGAGCCCTAGGAGCAAGCTGGGAGGGAAAAGGTTCCTTACATCGACAGAATTGCTGGCCCACACATTATAAGGGACAATAAATTTGGCTGCAAACTCTGCCATGAGACACGTCGTCCCATTTTCCCGCACCACAAATATATCTTTTTCAGGATTAGTCGAAAGGCCTGAAAGATTTTCCACTTCTTGTTCTCCCATGATTCCAGCCATTGTATCTGAAGAACAAACAAACAAACAAACAAAAAATTCTATCGGTTTGGGCCTCAGCGAGCCCACTCGTCTCGGGCACAAGGGTGGAAAGATCGTGGTCTGCGACTTTGGGGTGATAAATTTCCCTGCCGGCTGCTGTGCCCTCTGAGAGCCATTTCGCTAACCTAGCGTCAACAAATCCGACTTCGTTGCTGTTAATTTATAATCAAAATAAAACATTTAAAAATTAAACCTTACTAATTTGTAATCAGATTGGCCCTTTTCTTAATCTTAGGCTCGTAAACCAAAGCTTTCTTGGCAATGCGCTGAGCCCTACGAAGCAGGACCCTACAGCATCTTGTCTAGGATTGCCATACAGGTGTGTGGCTCTCTGGGGAATTTCCTGCCACTGAGGGGAAGTCCCTCCGCTCCCCCACCCCCAACCCCCACTCCCACAAAAAGGAAACACACACACACACACACACAACGTTAGGGTCACATTTGACCTTAAACTTTACTATGCCGGTTCGATTCTCTGCAAAGAGTGAACTCTGCCCTGGCGGTTGCCAAAACGCTACTCACAGAACAGCATCAGAAGAAACCGAAGTCTGTCCACGCTGAGAACGGTTCTTCCTCGGAGATCCATGCTCTCGGAGCAGCGATTGAGGCCAGATGTGATGCTGCAGAGGCTGTCCGAGAGGGAATCCCTCAAAGTCGCCGCTGGAGTGAGCAGGGTGAGAGAGGGGCGGGGGCACCGAGAGGGAGGAGGGAGGGAGCGCGTGTGCCGTGTGCGCTGGCGGACTTGGTGTCGAGTACCGCACCGAACCGCGCAGGCTGAACGCGAGTCACCTCACTGCGGAGAACTGGCCCGCGCGGCGAGGGAGCTGTCCACGGCTGCAAGTGCTGAAAGGATTCGGTTGTGTTGCAGGAGTGATTGTGGCTTGGCTTGTGCAGAGGGCCAATGAGATTTGGGAGGGCTAAAATTCTCCCTGAGTCTGTTTCCTGTGCTGCAATTGCATCTGCAAAGATGATTTTGTCTTGAGAAACTTAATAGCACCCTCAGACGTATTCAATATCCTTACCAATACAGTTATTAAGTGGTGTAGGTATCACACCACTGGAGTCCCGGCTTTTGAAAAATGCATCTGGTTCCTGAAGGAAAACGGTGGAGCACAAATTGTTGCAGCTTGTGGGGAGGAGAAGTAGGCAGGGATAGAGGAGGAAAATGCTATGGCAACAGCTTCTTGCATTTGAAGACAACCCCTTCTCTCCCCAGCTCTCGATGAGCTCAGGGATTTAAAGTTAAATTGACGCCTCTTCAAAGGAAGCCATCAGTCATTGCAGTGTATCTATTCGGCTTATTTTCTGTGAGTTCTGTTCTCAGATTGCTTGAGGGCTCTGAACTGTGGGGTCACCTACTCTCACTAATTACATTGTGACAAGAATGTAAGTGAGCCCGAAGTTGGAGTTCTCTAGGATCTCTTAGGACAGTATATAGTTATATAAACACACACACATTGGTATTAACTCCAAAGCCTCAGTGGGACAGAAAAACAAATACCACTGGGCTAATTCCTATATTTACGTTTTTAGCAGCTTGTTTAATTTTACATTTTTGCTCCATGAATCACAATACGGCTCTTTCAGCAATAGACATACTGTCCTTATTGACTGCAGTGATGTCCAGATATTTTATTTCCTAGAGGATATTTCATTATGTAAATAATCAGCAGTATAATGTCATAAAACAAACAATGTCATAATAAGCAAAAAAATGCAAAGTACTTTTACATGCATTGTCAAATTTCATCCTCCCTACAACCTTAGAAGGGAGGCAAGGGAAGATACACATTATTGTGGTTGTACAGACCCCAAAATTGAAGCTCAGAAAAATTCAATGACCTTCTTCAATGTCACATGGTCAGTAGAATTAAAATAGAAAAATCATATGATTTAACTCCATAGGGATCATCTTCACTTCTCCTTATATAATACTTTGACTCCAAAATATGCCATAAATAGATTTCCACTTAAAAATCTTTATTCAATGATCAAATAATAAGCTAAAACCTGAAATCTCTAATTCATATTTTTGAAATGTATAGAGTGCTGTTTAAAGTATAATAATATTCTGACATTCTGCTTGCTACAAAGTGTATAATGATTCTTTCAAGTCTATTGCTGTAACATTAATTAGATTCAACAGCCATTCAAATTATGAAGTAATATTTAAATACTATATTTTTATATCTTTATCTTTATGTTTGTATTTTGATAATTCATCCAAACATTTCTCAAGAACTTTCAATACATGACTATGTATAGAAGAATTGAGGCAAAATTGTGATTGATACAAAGTCAATTATTATCAGTTGAGAGTTGAAGTTGTAAAATTTATATGCCTTATGTTTTGTCAGGTTAACAGGTTTTATTAAACACTTACTTTCCTGTAATACTGTAAAAATTAAAAAGCAATGAGTCATATGTAATGAAGCATGTGTATTCTCTTTCCCTCTCTCCCTCAGTACTTAAATGAGGAAAGGAATAAATAGATTTCAGTTCAGGATGCACTACTTATTACTTTTATGACCTTGTATAGATCTTAGTGTTCCTCATCTAAAAAGCTGGGATAATGGCTCAGGGGGTGTTTAGTTAGGCCAAGTGAGCCAATGGCTATAAATGCATTCAAAAGACAACGTTATTTAGTTCATAAGCATTAACTGAATACCCACTGCTTGCAGTGTGCTTGGTATTTTGGAAACCCAAAGATACAAATACCATTATACAAGTAGAAGAGATATCTGTAAAATATTAGGGCACTTTCTCTCTTGCTACTTTATTAAAGATATCCTCAGTTGTAAGTTGTTAAAAGATCAACTGAATTAATTGTTGATTATCTGCTTTAATAATAAAATATTAGATGGGAAGTAGCATTGGTCATTAATATTAAGTTGTTGTAGTTGACTTACAAATCAAATGATGTTCCTTTGAAAATGATTTCTTTCCGTGCCTGACATAAATGATCCCTTTATTGACCAGCATTGAATGAGTTAAAAGAAAAAAGGAAGCAATTTTAACTCTTTCTTCTTGGGAGGATCATCTTCAAAACATAATTAATTTAACTCCCCCCCCAATTAAGTGCTTAGTCTTAAACACAACCTAACAAATATCCATTATTCATCTATCCACAGTGATTCTTATGTTGTAATAGGAGTCAGATCATTATACTTACAACTTTCACCTACATTAATTAAATAGCTTTCCAATCATCATGAAAACAACAACAACAATTTGAATTCTTTAAAATTACCAAAGAGGTGATAAAGAAAAAAAACCTTACCATTAAGTCATATTTTAAGATAGTAACAAAGTTTTCCAGGATCCATTCCATTCTTCATTTCTTGAGTGGGAGAGAAAGTAGGAGAAACTGACATAAACATGTACATTTGCATGGATGATGGTTATGTTAATTTTCATCATTGCTGCTGGCAGTTAATCAAATGTCACCCAAGCACACTGGCTCTGGACTTTCCTCTAGATCCTCGAAGTCCTTCAAAGGATCTCTTCAAGTCACATTTTTACTTATTGAATTGGTCTTTATGACTCTCATGCCTTTGGGTGGTTACTGTTTCGTGGAGTTAGAAGGAAAGAGACCTGCATGAACTTTTAGTTTGGATGGAAGAAAATAAGAAGATGCATTAAGATGTGGAGTTGCCCGGGACAATGTGTGCATTGATGTTTAGAAAAAGAAAAAGTAAGATAGCCATCCTAGGGTAGGTGGAATTGACCAAAGAAGGCCTCTTGGAGATGAGTCTTAAAGAAGTGGACAAGTTGACTTATGGTAGAAGACAAAGAAGGGCAATTAAATGGGAGAGTCAGTACAAAGATATAACTCTTCATTCTTCCAGGTTTGTCAAATTGCAATAAAGAAGAAATTAGGCCCTCAAATCCACGATGCTTTATAGTGTTTGTACATAACCCCCACTTAACTTCCTATTTGTTAATTTGCCCACATATGGCATATGTGAAAGAATGGCATATGCAAAACTTATTCTAAATAAAATTAAATCCTCAGATTGTTAGGTGTATCTCTTTATACTTGGCTGCACAAACAATTAACTTGTGTTTGTAGAATCAAGAAACATAATTATAAAAACCAGGAAAAATGCTCATTAGAAAACATATTTATGAGCTTCAAAAGAGGAGAGCTAGGTTTATTGCAGCTGAAATTTGCCTTGTTGATGTTTCAGCCCACTTTATAGTGAAATGTGAAAATGTACTCTGGCTCTGCTGTTCCCACCACCACCAATGCCCTCTCCACCCCACACACACACACACACACACACACACACAGACACACACACAGAGATAAGGAAGCACACATGGATAACAGAAGCAGGCATAATTTAACTAAACTGGACAAGATGTGCACAGCTATTAAGCCAAAATTACTAGTTACCAAAACCTTTTCTGTGCTCAACTTATCACTGAACAATTATTTCATTTAATTTAATCACTGCCTTTAAATATCTTTGCAACCCTTTCTAAGATAGGAGCCTTTGGGGGATAGGAACTGAAAAATAAGTGTATGCAAGAATATTTTGTGCATAAGTTACCAAGCCCTAGAATATGTGGAAAGAATCAGAAAATTAAGTTTGGGCCTCTGATGCACTCAACTTGCCTGAACTTGGTGAAATTTCCCTCATCCTTTCAGTTACTGGTCCCTCTGCAGCTACTTAAAAGAAACAAATCTATTGCTTCAATGAGGGAAAAAAGTGAATACAAGGCAGCAAAACAATGGCCCTTTCATTGGCAATGTATATTCATGCTAAGTTCTTAGAAAGGTCCTTCTGCAAGTTCATTTAGGATAAGTGCCTTCACACATGAGGGAATGCAGGGGACAAAGTCCTTCTAAAGAATTCTGAATAAGCAGATGACAAGGCTGGGCAATCATTCCTGAAAAGTTTAAGAGCAAAGAAATTATTTCATCTTTTGAGCCAGTAATTAGTTAACCATTTTTAAAAACTGTTTCTGACAGCTACCACTACTTCAGTGTGTAAGTTTTTAGGCCACTGAGTACAATTCTCCTGGCAGTGAGGAAAATCTTAACTCAGGGGCAGGGGTCTTTTCTGTAAAAGACAAGAGTCAATTGAGAATTTTAAATAAATCCTTTAAGAAGTTTATATACTCCAAGAAATATCAACAGCTATCCAAGTGGGCTTTAGATTATGCAAGATGGGGCTTATTTACAATAGTTTGCTACATAATTTTGAGATAATTCAATTCCTTAACAATCTTTTATGATGTATCAAAGGGATCCCTTATTTCCAGTTAACTACTCTTTTAGTTGTCTATCTGAAGTTATCTGCATATTCACTTGAAGATGTGTTGGAACTAAGGGGGAAATATATTAATTGTCATTGGTGGGGGAGGGTGAGAGTGGGGCGGCCAGTCAGCTGAGCCTTGAAGGAAAGCTTTGCTGGTGCAGAGCTGAAGCCCCAGAGTGTCGGGGGTGTTCTGATGTTGTAAGTTTAGGGCGTTTTTATGAGTGTTTATCTGAAACCATTGCAAGATGCCCTGGTAACCAAGAAAGGGAAAAAGAAAAGAGTCTTCAGGGTATTGGAAAGGCAACTGGAATGGGACTCTAGAAAGCAGTATGTCAGTTCTGCCTTTATGCTCCACTAACAACAATTTCTGGGAGGAATGACTTCACCTCTCTTGTGTTTAACACGCCTTTCCTAAAGGATCCTTTCAGGATTGCATGTTCCGCTTCTGTAGGTGACCTTAGCTGGAAAGTGGTGGGAGCAAATCTTTTCGTGGGGAAGAAAACCTCTGGGAATTCCATCACTAAAGCTTACTTATCCCAACATGCAAGAAGCTTGCGCTGATTGGGACTCACCTTTGCGCGGCGCCGAGGAATGTGGGCCTGGTCGCTCAGGGTCTGGAGCTTGGTGGGACTGGGGCTGCGGACTCCAGACCTGCCTGCTTCTGCCCCCGACGAGAGGTGCGGGCTGCGGCCGGGCGCCTGGCGGCCCGCACCCCGAGTTCGAGACAACCTCAGCCTGGGAAAGACACTGGCGCTCGACACCCGGGCTGGACTCAAGGCACGTTAGCGCGACTGCTCCCGGTTTAGAGATGAGAAAGAAAACGCCTGCTCAGTTGCAAAGGTGAGATCCACACCGGCTTCCAAAGCCAGGGGAGTGGGGTCGATTTCCAGGATGCTGGGGTTGAACAAGTTCGGGCCTCGGCGACAGAAC